TCATCTATGCGTCCAGAAGTAATTAAAAACCAGGATATAATACGACTTTCAAATCTTGTTGAAGGGGGAAATCATGGCGATAGACATCCTAACCGTTCAGGGCACCCGGCCTCGTGTCGAGACGACAGCAGGAAAAGCACTTGACGCAAGCAGTAAACACAGCCACAGGAACACGCTGATGAGCGACAACACAGCCCCAGCGGGAGCCGCGGGCGGGCGCGGGGAAGAGGGAGAGAAACACCGCTACTTTCATCTCACGAGTGAAAGAGCGGATATGACGGTGGCGGACTTCCCCAAAACAGGTTGTGGTATGCCAGGAACGGGACTTACGTGCGTACTCGTCCACACGTACTCACCTACACGTACTCGTCTACACGTACTCGTCTGCACGTACTCGTCAACACGTACTCGTCTACACGTACTCGTCCACACGTATTCGTCTACACGTACTCGTCTAGATGTACTCAACACGTACTCGTCTAGATGTACTCAACACGTACTCGTCTACACGTACTCGTCTACACGTACTCATCTAGACGTACTCGTCTACACGTACTCACCTACACGTACTCGTCTACACGTACTCACCTACACGTACTCGTCTACACGTACTCGTCTACACGTACTCGTCTACACGTACTCGTCTACACGTACTCACCTACACGTACTCGTCTACACGTACTCACCTACACGTATTTGCTTAGTTTTACAATGTACTCACCTAGGGCCGACATGTTCGTTGAGGGTACCAGAGTCGTGGAGGGTACCAGAGTCGTGGAGGGTACCAGAGTCGTTGAGGGTACCAGAGTCGTGGAGGGTACCAGAGTTGTGGAGGGTACCAGAGTCGTGGAGGGTACCAGAGTCGTGGAGGGTACCAGAGTCGTGGAGGGTACCAGAGTCGTGGAGGGTACCGGAGTCGTGGAGGGTACCGGAGTCGTGGAGGGATAGATCACTTGCACCGAACTATCGACCAATTAACTTAACGTCTATTGTGAGAAAATTGCTTGAGTCGATGATGGTAAAAGTCAACCGTTTAGTTTGAAAGCATAAATTATTAAATGGTCCACAATATTGTGCAATAACATACAAGGAAATCTCCAGTGTCGTGTTTCTATGAGAAATCATTGGAGGAAGATGAGAATCGAACCAGTCTTGGGTCACCCCACATGCACGCTATACCCCTGGACATGATAAACATTATATAGCCTGTGATCTTCCCTTTACCCACCAGGAGTGTGGAGGCGCCGCTGGTGGTCAACACTGTGTATGAAGGGCGCCAAATTTGGGTTGGCTTCCTGACTCCTATTTCTATTTCTCTGTGGTTGAATTTCCCCAGTATTAGGATTTGATCTCTTGTTCCCCTTACTATTGTGGCTGCTTTTTCCATCACCTTTAGACAGTTCTAATTGCATCTATTCGTATTCTTCCCCCAAGCCTTCTGTTGTCTGGTGGGGATTATAACTCATTGCTACCACTATTTTCACGCCTCTCACTCTTGCTATTCCTGTACATACTCTTGTTGGTCGGCTCCCTCTGCTATTTGTTTGTTATTTATCCCTCTGCTATATCTGCTTCCAGCCTCCAGTGCAGCTGCAGCAACAGATGTACACCCACCTCCCCCTCTGTGCACCCGATATCCTCTTATAACTTGATACCCTCATGGAAAGATTGACTATAACACTAGTCAGTTTCCGTTATCATGTACGGTTTACTTCCACTACTCTTTTCTGTAATTATATTTCTTTATTAGCAAGAACTCAATGTTTATTAGTACACAAATCTGTATTTGCATTCATTACTTTTATGCTACTCGTGACAATTGAAATGCTTTTGTTTTTCTGTAGGGGTCTTTGTTTATGTGGCTGCTTTTCTATATCTGTTAAAGGAAAGCAGAGAATTGTGGACCAGTCACTCTTGCCTACTAATCTGAGAAGATGCCTCGTTAGGCTGGGAGCCCTGCTATCTCCTGCTGTATTGCTCTCTGTTTCATGTTTACGCTGGTCTGCCCCCACAATTTCCATGTTGTACTCTGGTGCCAGATTTGCTTCATCCTGTGCCCGTTCTTGTGCCATTTTTCATTTCTTGTCATTTCTCATTTGCTTTTCCTCTCTGATTCTCTTTGCTGCCTTCCTTTCCTCCATAGACATGTCCGGTCTAATAAACATTGTAAAGTACTTTTCCTCTTTACTTAAATATCTCATCTCTGCCAGTATATACTTAATTGGGTTGCTGTTCATACAAATTACTTTTACTTGTCGATTTCTTCCTTGCTGAAACCTACCTAGCCTGAAGAAATGCTCAATTTTCCTTGTTGCATCTCTGGCAATAAGTGAAACTGCATTGAGTGCTATAAGGGGTACATGACAGTGCCCAGGTTGGCTTTTATTAGTTTGAAGCTCATCATGTGTGTTTTTTAATTCCTCCATCGGTTTCTTTCTTTCAGGATCTCACCTTTTGGAAAGCAAATCTTCCATTCCTCTCTTCTCTTTCTCTTGTTAGCTTTTATAACAACTACATAATCAAAGCCCAACACACAGTGACCACCAGCACCAGAATATTGGTATTCCGTGCAAGATGTTCACTGTCCATCTTGGTCTGAGTGAAGACCAGGTCTGGCCTCGCTGGCTGGTCTCCACCTCTTCCTCCTGTTTCTTCCCTGGTGTGTTGTGTTAGGAAGTTCTCTTCGGAGTCTTCTACCAACTTAACTCTTCATATCTCTTTGGATCTTCCCTTTTTGGATCCATTGATTCCCAATGAATCAATCATTGGGATGATTCATTGGGATGAATAAATTATTGGCATGATTGGGAAGAATACGACAGATGATGGAGCCTGACAGCTGAGTGGACAGCGCTTCAGATTCGTAGTCCTGAGGTTTCGGGTTCGAACCCCGGTGGAGCCGGAAACAAATGGGCAGAGTTTCTTTCACCCTGATGCCCCTGTTACCTAGCAGTAAATAGATACCTGGGAGTTAGACATCTGCTATCGGCTGCTTCCTGGGGGGTAACAAAAAGGAGGCCTGGTCGAGAACCGGGCCGCGGGGACGCTAAGACCCGAAATCATCTCAAGATAACCTCAAGATGATTCCCAACGAATCAATCCACGTGACGAGATGGTAACACACTCGCCTGGCGTTTCGTGAGCGCTTTGGCTTGGGTTCGTATCCTGGCCGGGGAGGATTTACTTGGCGCCAATGCTTAACTGTAGCCTCTGTTCACCGTGCTAGTGGTTTTATAAGAATGTAAGAACTTTTGTATATATTAAAAATAATAATAATAATAATAAATTTGATCAGTTTGGACCCCATAGTGGTCTCTTGTGAGTGTGGGCTCAAGTGACCATGTTGCTGCATCTCTGAGGGAGGCTGAAATGAAGGTAAGGTGTAGTGTATCTCCTTGGAAGTGGGTGTGTTCATTCTTATTTAGGATTTAATTTCTGGTAGCTGGTTTAGTAGATGTGCAATGTGAGTGCCGGCCTCATTTGTTATGTTCAAGCCCAGTGCCCATCATCGCACCAGTGCGATGATGGGCATTAAAATCACCACAAATTATTGTGGTTGAGGTGGTCGCGTGTCCAAATAACACTGAGAGATCCATTTCAGCATGTGGAGACCTGTAAACTTTAAACACTTCAAGCTTGTCGTGTCTTAGCTCAATGGATACTCCCATCACGTCTGTCCCTGGCCCACAATCGAGTGGGCTGAGTATGGGCTTGGAGATCAGGTCGCATTTCTCATAGATGGTACATCCCCTGGAATGCCCGTTGACCCATGGAAGAAAGAAGTATCGATAACCTGAGTTTTTAGGTTCTAATCCGTCTGGACGCAAGCTCTCCTGTAGTAGCAGGATGTCACTGCCTTTGGTTGCTGCTATGCATTGCAAGTGCTGCAATTTTGTGCGCAGCCCTTGCTCATTCCATTGCAGGATCTTTAGTCCTCTAGGTTGTTGGAACTTGCTGATACTACTGAGGTATCCATATAGTGAGATGAACTCACCGTCGAAGTTGAAACTGTAGTTGATGATCTTGGTGTACTTGAAACTGACTCATCAAGGTCACTTTCAGAAGTACTGGACTCTACCTGTTTTTTAAGAGAGTTTTTTCTGCCCTGCGTCTTTGAAGGTGAGGATATTGTTTTTTTTCGAATGGTAGATGGTTGTTGAAAAGCTGTTATATATGGACAGTTTGGGGTGGGATACAGTTTGTAGTCCTGGTTAATGGCTCTCGTCGTATTAGAAAATGGAAGCAGCTTGCGAAATTTGCATACTGTTCCGTTTTCTGTTTTGGGTCCTCTGGTAGGTTAGGATAAGGGCACTTTAGTACGACAGTTTCTTGACGTTAGGAAACCTTAGGAGGACGAACTACTTTGTCAGTGTTGGTTTCTGGCTGTAACTGTCTGCCATCCAGTTTGTTGTTGTTGTTGTTGTTGTTGTAGTCTGTGATTGTTGTTGTTGTAGTCTGTGACTGTTGTTGTTGTAGTCTGTGACTGTTGTTGTTGTAGTCTGTGATTGTTGTTGTTGTAGTCTGTGATTGTTGTTGTTGTAGTCTGTGATTGTTGTTGTTGTAGTCTGTGATTGTTGTTGTTGTAGTCTGTGATTGTTGTTGTTGTAGTCTGTGATTGTTGTTGTTGTAGTCTGTGAGTGAGTAATGTTTTAGGTTGATCACCCGGAAGCTGGTGAGAGATCATCTCCCAGCCTCTAACATCTCTCTCTCTCTTTCCTTGCGCTGTTCTGAGCATGTGTGTGTGTGTGTGTGCGCGCGCGCGCGTGTATTTGCAGATCACTTAATAATACAACACAACTCTCCATTGAGACAGTGTTCGCTCGTGTCTGGCGGCGTATGTGTGAGAGAGAGCGTCTGAGACAATGTGTGTGCGTGCGTGTGTGTGTGTGTACGTGTACGTGTACGTGCATGTGTGTGTGTGCGTGTGTGTGTGAGGGCGTTGACTGTTCTGGCTGGCTGGGTGGCTGAGAGGAGCTGTAGTGTGGCTCCAGCCTCAGTCCTGTTCACCTGGATATTAGCACACCTGCCGCCTCCACACCTGCATATTACTACACCCGGATATTAGCACACCTGCCGCCTCCACACCTGCATATTACTACACCCGGATATTAGCACACCTGCCGCCTCCACACCTGGGTATTATTTTACACATCTGACTGTTGTACAGTGGATAATTTGGCTCAGACAGACGTGTTTGTCTCGTGGCTAATTGTTCTCCTCTCACGCTAACCGTCGTAATTATGTGACTAACTGCCGCAGCTGTTGTGATCGGCTCCCTGGCTAATTACCTTAATTGTGGTGTTACTTCCTGCGGTCGTGGGACTGATGTGGTGTGCTGCCACCACTCTCCGGCAGGAGAGGGGGACTTTGTTGCGGTAATTGGCTGAACTGTCTGATGGGTTTGTAGTGATTAGCAAAGATTTTGTGGTGCAGGTCGTACTTTTGTGCTGAAAACCGAGATTTTGTGGTGAAAGTCATGATTTTGTGGTGAAAGTCATGATTTTGTGGTGAAAGTCATGATTTTGTGGTGAAAGTTGTGATTTTGTGGTGAAAGTTGTGATTTTGTGGTGAAAGTCATGATTTTGTGGTGAAAGTCATGATTTTGTGGTGAAAGCTGTGATTTTGTGGTGAAAGCTGTGATTTTGTGGTGAAAGCTGTGATTTTGTGGTGAAAGCTGTGATTTTGGGGTGAAAGCTGTGATTTTTTTTTTATTTTTTGTATTTTTTTTTCTACCACAGACGTGGCCACACAGTTACAATGCTAACCAGCATATATACATTTTCTTCTGTCCTCCATGGACAGGGTTAGAGAAGTGTTAAACATATAGTTCAAGGGTTTATTGAACACTCAACCACAGAAGGTGATTCGGTGCTTTTAAAATGCTAAGCTAACCTACATACGTAAATACACAGATACACAGATTTACGTATGCCCTACATAAAGTGTTCGATGTGTCTTTTACATAGTGTCATTAATGTGCATTTACAAAGGTGAAATGTAATTCTGATCAGCTTCCATATATACTTTGTACACATACATATATATATATATATATATACACACACATGCATTCACATACATTTGTCTCTTTTACTCTGACGGGGTGAGATAGCTGATAGAGAAACTAGTGTTCAATTAAGCACCTAATCACTGAAGGTGATTAAGGTGCATTTACAAGCTCAGGTTATATAGTTACATCACATACATACATTGTATAATTGATACATTTTGTGGTAAAAGCCGAGATTTGAGGTGAAAACCGTAATGTGAATTGTAATTGAATTGTAATTAGTGAACCGTAATTAGTGAATTGAATTCACTAATTGTAGTGAATTAGATTTAGTGGAGCGTGAGCATGGACTTAGTGCGGTGATGACAGCTTGTGATGAGCAACGTTGTCGTAATTTTGTGATGATGGTGACGGGATGGTGTGGCCTTAGTTTTCAAGAGATGACTTTGTTATTGGGGGTAAGAAGTGACCTTAAACGTGTAGTGAGTGACCTTAAAGTTACAGAGAGTGGCTCACAAACTCGCGGTCTGTGACCTTACGTCAGCGACCTTCATCTTATGATGAGTGTGTGTGGTTGTCTGATGACTGCGATGATGCGATGAGCAGGTTGTTGTGAAGATTTGTTGACGTCACTGGTGATTTAATGTTTATTTTTGTTTATGTGACTGATTTTGTTTTGATTGACTCTGAATTTGTGTTGATTGATTCTGAATTTGTGTTGATTGACTCTGAATTTGTGTTGATTGACTCTGAATTTGTGTTGATTGACTCTGAATTTGTCTTGACTGACTTTGAATTTGTGTTGATTGACTCTGAATATGTGCTGATTGACTCTGAATTTGTGTTGATTGATTCTGAATTTGTGTTGTCTGACTCTGAATTTGTGTTGATTGACTGAATTTGTGTTGATTGACTCTGAATTTGTGTTGATTGACTGAATTTGTGTTGATTGACTCTGAATTTGTGTTGATTGACTCTGAATTTGTGTTGATTGACTGAATTTGTGTTGATTGGCTCTAAATTTGTGTTGATTGACCCTGAATTTGTCTTGACTGACTCTGAATTTGTGTTGATTGGCTCTGAATTTGTGTTGATTGACTCTGAATTTGTCTTGACTGACTCTGAATTTGTGTTGATTGGCTCTGAATTTGTGTTGATTGACTCTGAATTTGTGTTGATTGACTCTGAATTTGTGTTGATTGGCTCTGAATTTGTGTTGATTGATTCTGAATTTGTGTTGTCTGACTCTGAATTTGTGTTGATTGACTGAATTTGTGTTGATTGACTGAATTTGTGTTGATTGACTCTGAATTTGTGTTGATTGACTGAATTTGTGTTGATTGACTCTGAATTTGTGTTGATTGACTCTGAATTTGTGTTGATTGACTCTGAATTTGTGTTGATTGGCTCTGAATTTGTGTTGATTGACTCTGAATTTGTCTTCACTGACTCTGAATTTGTGTTGATTGGCTCTGAATTTGTGTTGATTGACTCTGAATTTGTGTTGATTGACTCTGAATTTGTGTTGATTGACTCTGAATTTGTGTTGATTGACTCTGAATTTGTGTTGATTGGCTCTGAATTTGTGTTGATTGACTCTGAATTTGTGTTGACTGACTCTGAATTTGTGTTGATTGACTCTGAATTTGTGTTGATTGGCTCTGAATTTGTGTTGATTGGCTCTGAATTTGTGTTGATTGGCTCTGAATTTGTGTTGATTGACTCTGAATTTGTCTTGACTGACTTTGAATTTGTGTTGATTGACTTTGAATTTGTGTTGATTGACTCTGAATATGTGCTGATTGACTCTGAATTTGTGTTGATTGATTCTGAATTTGTGTTGTCTGACTCTGAATTTGTGTTGATTGACTCTGAATTTGTGTTGATTGACTGAATTTGTGTTGATTGACTCTGAATTTGTGTTGATTGACTCTGAATTTGTGTTGATTGACTGAATTTGTGTTGATTGGCTCTGAATTTGTGTTGATTGACTCTGAATTTGTCTTGACTGACTCTGAATTTGTGTTGATTGGCTCTGAATTTGTGTTGATTGACTCTGAATTTGTGTTGATTGACTCTGAATTTGTGTTGATTGACTCTGAATTTGTCTTGACTAACTCTGAATTTGTGTTGATTGGCTCTGAATTTGTGTTGACTGACTCTGAATTTGTTTTGACTGACTTTGAATTTGTGTTGATTGACTCTGAATATGTGCTGATTGACTCTGAATTTGTGTTGATTGATTCTGAATTTGTGTTGTCTGACTCTGAATTTGTGTTGATTGACTGAATTTGTGTTGATTGACTGAATTTGTGTTGATTGACTCTGAATTTGTGTTGATTGACTGAATTTGTGTTGATTGACTCTGAATTTGTGTTGATTGACTCTGAATTTGTGTTGATTGACTCTGAATTTGTGTTGATTGGCTCTGAATTTGTGTTGATTGACTCTGAATTTGTGTTGACTGACTCTGAATTTGTGTTGATTGACTCTGAATTTGTGTTGACTGACTCTGAATTTGTGTTGATTGACTCTGAATTTGTGTTGATTGACTCTGAATCTGTGTTGATTGGCTCTGAATTTGTGTTGATTGACTCTGAATTTGTGTTGACTGACTCTGAATTTGTGTTGATTGACTCTGAATTTGTGTTGATTGGCTCGGAATTTGTGTTGATTGACTCTGAATTTGTGTTGATTGACTCTGAATTTGTTTTGACTGACTTTGAATTTGTGTTGATTGACTCTGAATATGTGCTGATTGACTCTGAATTTGTGTTGATTGATTCTGAATTTGTGTTGTCTGACTCTGAATTTGTGTTGATTGACTGAATTAGTGTTGATTGACTGAATTTGTGTTGATTGACTCTGAATTTGTGTTGATTGACTGAATTTGTGTTGATTGACTCTGAATTTGTGTTGATTGACTCTGAATTTGTGTTGATTGACTCTGAATTTGTGTTGAATGGCTCTGAATTTGTGTTGATTGACTCTGAATTTGTCTTGACTGACTCTGAATTTGTGTTGATTGGCTCTGAATTTGTGTTGATTGACTCTGAATTTGTGTTGATTGACTCTGAATTTGTGTTGATTGACTCTGAATTTGTGTTGATTGACTCTGAATTTGTGTTGATTGGCTCTGAATTTGTGTTGATTGACTCTGAATTTGTGTTGACTGACTCTGAATTTGTGTTGATTGACTCTGAATTTGTGTTGATTGGCTCTGAATTTGTGTTGATTGGCTCTGAATTTGTGTTGATTTGCTCTGAATTTGTGTTGATTGACTCTGAATTTGTCTTGACTGACTTTGAATTTGTGTTAATTGACTTTGAATTTGTGTTGATTGACTCTGAATATGTGCTGATTGACTCTGAATTTGTGTTGATTGATTCTGAATTTGTGTTGTCTGACTCTAAATTTGTGTTGATTGACTCTGAATTTGTGTTGATTGACTGAATTTGTGTTGATTGACTCTGAATTTGTGTTGATTGACTCTGAATTTGTGTTGATTGACTGAATTTGCGTTGATTGGCTCTGAATTTGTGTTGATTGACTGAATTTGTGTTGATTGACTGAATTTGTGTTGATTGACTCTGAATTTGTGTTGATTGACTGAATTTGTGTTGATTGACTCTGAATTTGTGTTGATTGACTCTGAATTTGTGTTGATTGACTCTGAATTTGTGTTGATTGGCTCTGAATTTGTGTTGATTGACTCTGAATTTGTCTTCACTGACTCTGAATTTGTGTTGATTGGCTCTGAATTTGTGTTGATTGACTCTGAATTTGTGTTGATTGACTCTGAATTTGTGTTGATTGACTCTGAATTTGTGTTGATTGACTCTGAATTTGTGTTGATTGGCTCTGAATTTGTGTTGATTGACTCTGAATTTGTGTTGACTGACTCTGAATTTGTGTTGATTGACTCTGAATTTGTGTTGATTGGCTCTGAATTTGTGTTGATTGGCTCTGAATTTGTGTTGATTGGCTCTGAATTTGTGTTGATTGACTCTGAATTTGTCTTGACTGACTTTGAATTTGTGTTGATTGACTTTGAATTTGTGTTGATTGACTCTGAATATGTGCTGATTGACTCTGAATTTGTGTTGATTGATTCTGAATTTGTGTT